CCCACCCCGGCCGGGGCTCCTGCCACGGCCCCCAGCTCACCCAGGAGACGACGCGGCCATTGAAGCAGGGCAGCCTGGCATTGTCCGCTGAGATCTCCTCCTTCACCACCCTGCGGGCAGACGCTCCGTGAGGCCCGCACAGGGCCCTCTCCCCAGTGTGCTCCGGGGAGAAGCCCCCCAACCAGGGCGCCCAGCTGTCAGTCTGTGCGATGTCCCGCCCACCAGTCTCTTCCTGGGGCTCCTGTCATCCTCCTGAGGGCCCCTCCCAGTGCCCAGTCCCAGGGGCCAGACCTCCGGCCCTCAGCGCTGGCCTCACCCCCCGCAGCACCTGCGCCTCGAGCCCACCCTGCTCTGTGTGCGACGTGGGGAAGAGCTGCGAGGGAGGGGCTCTGCCTGCTCTCTCCTCCGCACCCCTCCCCCCAGCCCAGCACAGGGCCTGGGTCACAGCAGCCTCAGCCAGGACCCCACGGACACAGGCGGGTAGAGAAGGCACAGTACACGCGCCCCCACACGCACGCGCTCTCCGAGGGCAGGCCACCTGCCCCCCCAGGAGACAAGCAGGCCCCACCGGCTGCACCTGCCCAGCTCCAGACCGGAGAGGCCAGCTGGGCCCACCGACAGGCCCGCCTCGGAGTCAGAGAGCCCCTCCCTGGCCGTTGCAGTGGCCACACCCCCTGCACAGCGAGCAGCCAGGCCTATTTCTTTCTTTCATTATTATTTTTAAATATTTTTATTGCTTTCAGAGAGGAAAGGAGAAGGAGAAACATCAAGGGAGAAACATCAAGGATGCAAGAGCCCTAACCGGTTTGGCTCAGTGCATGGAGCGTCGGCCTGTGGACTGAAGGGTCCCAGTTCAATTCCGGTCAAGGGCATGTACCTTGGTTGCGGGCACATCCCCAGTGGGGAGTGTGCTGGAGGCAGCTGGTCAATGTTTCTCTCTCATCAATGTTTCTAACTCTCTATCCCTCTCCCTTCCTCTCTGTAAAAAATCAATAAAATATATTTTTTAAAAAAGGATTCAAGAGAATCATGGAACGGCTGCCTCCTGCATGCCCCCCACTAGGGACCCAGCCTGCAACCTGAACAGGAATTGAACCGTGACCTCCTGGTTCATAGGTCGACACTCAACCACTGAGCCCCGCCAGCCGGGCACCAGGCCTATTTCTTAATGTTGCCCCTGGTCAGGTGGCTTGAGGGTGGGGGAGGGCAGGAGGCAGAGGCCAGGGCAACACTAACTGGGAAGGAGGCCCATGACCCCTGGGTTCAGAAACAGGTGTGTGGGGGGGTCAAGGGCCAGGTTCAGAGAGGTGAGGGGGGCAGCAGCCAGCACAGCTGGCGAGGGGCCCTGGGGCAGGACAAGCATGGGCTGTGGCCCAGACACCCCCCATACTGCGGCCCCTGGGGGCCCAGGGAGCAGGCCGGGCCGGGCGGGGCCTGCAGCAGGAGGGCCAGACGCCCGCCCCCTGGAGCCCAGCCCTGCCCAGCACAGCAGGATTCCCAAGCCGAGCCCCGAGCCCAGGGGAGAGCAGGCCTGGGGCACCGGGAGGAAGCAGGCTCCCTCCGCGAGTCCTGGGCAGCGCAGGTGGCAGGAGCCCCCCGAGCTGGCACCCCACACTCCCGACCAGGGAGCAAGGCTTCACACACAGGGAGGGGGCCCTGGACCCTGGGGCAGAGGAGATGGAGGAGAGAGGGCCAACCTGGGGGGAGGGGGCCCCCGCTGGGTCCTGCGGCCACCCCGATGCCTTCCAGGGCCAGCCCCTCAGGCGCCAATAAGTGGGGCACCTCAACCTGCAGAAAAGGTCTCTCTCAGGCCCCCACCCCCCCAGGAAGAGAGGCCCCCACGTCTGCTGCCCCCACTTGGGCACCACAGCCTGCAGACCTGAGCGGCCAGGGAGGCCGTGACCTGGCCCAGACCCGAGGTGGTCAGCACAGGAAGACCTGGGGACATGGGGGCTCTGCCAGCTGCAGCTGATTGACCAGGGATGGGGGAGAGGGGGTGGGGGCCAGAGCACGGTCTCTGAGTGACGCAGCGAGACCCGGTCCCCACACAGCCAGGTGGCCCCTCCGGCGGCCTCCCTGCCTCACCAAGTTCCCCCCTTTCTAATTCACCCACAGTGAGGAACCCCCCTACCACGGGCACCCAGGCTCCCTCAGAGGCCCAGGAGCACCCACCTGCTCCCACTGCCCACCTGGCCAGGACCTCTCCATGACCCACCATCAAGGGCTGCCTGAGGCCTCAGGGCCCCCACTCAGCACAGAGGCCCTCCCAGCTCCCAGAGGCCCTGCTCCCCGGCCCTCCCCAGCCTGAGGACCCCGTCCTACACCCCCATCCGACACGCGTGACAGAGCATCCTGCCGTCCCCCTGGGGCGGGGCAATGGGGGCTCCACAGGCCCAGCCCCTTGGCCAGGACGGAAGGGAGGAGGACAGAGATGGAGGAGGAGACGCCGGAGCCCCCAGGACAAAGGGCACAGGCACTCCTCTCCTCGGGGAGGGCCCCACTGCTGGCTGGGAGCCCAGGGGGCACGGTTGGGAAAACACCTCCCGACAGCCCTGAGGCCCCCTGGGCCGGCCTCGCGGGGTGGAGAGCGGACCTCCGCAGCATCTCCACTGAGGCCACCCAGGCACCCCTGGTGGCTTCTTGCCCTTGACCTCAGAATTGCTGGTGAGATCCCAGTGAACCTGCAACGGGTGGCTGCCCGGCCCCACCCGCCACCCCTGCAGACCCACCCTGGGAGCCGAACGTGGCCAAGGGCCCAGGGGGACCCGAGGGGCCAGCCCCTCCCCGTGGGGCAGCTCTCAGTGCGTCCCCAGGGGCATGGGGTCCCCCATCGTCTCTTCCCGCCACAGAGCAGGAAGTTGGCAGAGAGCTTCCCTCACTAGGTGGCCCGCCGTGGCCAGGACGGACACTGAGGGAACTCAGGCCCAGCCCACAGTGGGGGTGGGGGGTGGGGGGTGGAGCAGGAGGCCCAGGCTCACCAGGATGCTCCTCGCAGCCCCCCAAGTGAGGCCGCCCTGTCATGGACCTGCCCGCCCTCCCCCCACACACCTCCAGTTCAGTCCGCTAGGCATCCAGGTCTCATTCACACTAAAGTGTAACAGATTTCCCCTCCCATTTAGCCCCCGAATAAATGGTTATCGGACAGGCAGGTCTTGGGGCTCTGCAGACAGATCTCGGGGGCAGGGGAGAAAGGAGGCAGCTGATGGGGGTCTTCGGTGACCTGGACACTAGCCAGCGATCCGGGGAGGAAATAAGCGAGCCCGTGCTGTCTGCCCACTGCGCCTTCCAGCGCCACCCAAATCCATTCCCCTGCTGAGCCCCCTCGAGCTCAGAGCTGCCCCTGCCTCCCAGCCGGGTCCTGCTCCTCCCCCAACCCAGCCATTTCCAGGCCTGTAGAACTCGTGCTGCTCCAAGACCCCACAGTCTGCCCACCCTCCTCCCCAGCCAGGGACCCACATGTCCTGCAAATCCCCCCGCAGGCCGGCCTCTGCGGGGCGTGCATGTGGGGTGGGGGGCTCTGCAGCTCGTGGGTGGCCCCCATGGCTCTGGGACACAACAGCAGGCCCCCAGGACATGGCCCAGAGCCTGGTCCGAGGGCGGTAAACTGGGGCCTGGGCACATGCCTGGCCACACCACAGGCTCTGTGCTGGCTTCAGTTCCTGACAGAGAGCACGTGTGGCTTTGGTGATCTTCATTAAAGTAGTAAACCAAGTTACCCCCGGCCGGCGTGGCTCAGTGGTTGAGCATCAACCTATGAACCAGGAAGTCAAGGTTCCATTCCTGGTCGGGGCACAGGCCGGGTTGTGGGCTCAAACTCTCTCATCGTTAATGTTTCTATCGCTCACTGCCTCTCCCTTCCTCTCTGAAATCAATAAAAATATTATATTTTAAAAACAAGTAAGTAATGATAGACTAAGTTAAAAGCAAAAGTGCCCGTTCACGGAGCGGACGGTAACAGCCACAGCAGCCCAGACCCGAGGGGCAGCGACTGTGAGGTGGCCCAGCAAGGGCAGGGAGGGGCACAGGACGCCCCACCCGCAGAACCTGGCCCCATGCGGCTCTGAAGCTGAGCCAGCAGGAAGGCCAGCCACACAGGCCGGGGCGTCCTGCCTCCAAGGCTGCCAGGGACACGCCCACCCCTCTCT